GCTGGGCAGGGAATGGAAACGACTGCCTGCAGGCATGGAGCGTTCTGCATTGCGTTCTCTTCTCAAATTGAGGGAGGCACAGATACCAGTAGTTGCCTCTACTGCCAAGCATTAACACATCCCTAGCAATGGAATTCTTCCATCACAGATACCCATGCTCCCATTTAACCGGTGTGTTTTTCTTCCCAATTTTCCCAATACTATTTTTTTTTAACCCCAAATTGACAGCAGGTGATCGACCTGTTGCAGCTATTTAAATTAAGGTGTGCTATTTACAAGGTTTCTTCTCCAGCTTCCTGCCACCTGCTCATTCCTAACAGAGAAGGTGCATTATCCTCACAGATCCCAATGCTCCTCAAGAGCCATCTCATGTGAAAGAACACAAAGGAAAACCTGTGCTGCTGAGAAACAGGGACAGAAGTGACTGTCTGTTGGAATAATATCAGATAAGTATTTTGAGATCCCAAACTTAACAGAAATAGCTTTTATTATTGTTGTTATATTAAGGAAGATACCATGAAATGTATGGGTCTTCTTTTGTAAAAGGAAGGTTAGTTGTAATGAGTGACTGCTGTGAAAATATCTTTGCCTTGCTGTCTCTGAGAGGAATTACTTGCAAAATTATCATCAACACTGGGGGGCTGCATAGCAATGTTTCCTGAAGGTCTGTGAAGTTGTCTCATTGGCAATGCTCAGACTTAGTAAAATACACCATCTAGTGACAAAAGTATGCAGTTTTCTCAAAATCACTCAAAAGCAATTCAGAGAAAGACTACATCATACTGCAATCCTGGAGCCCCTACTCTCACAAGCTTGCCATGTTACTTCATACAGTTGTCCAACACTTTAATTTGCCTTCTGTACTTCTCTAGAAATCACGATAATACACCAATTTGTTAAATACTTCCTACGATTTACACATCTTTATGTTACTACACAGGCAGCTTGCTTTTTCCTCCCGTGAGGTTAGCTAATATGGCATTCAGATATATGAGATCTGTCCAGTACACAACTGATAGGAAGAAGTAAAAAGATATTTGTAAGACTTCCCATTTTCATACAACAGTGTGCTTCAGTAATGCTGTTACCTTCCGGGCAGAGTCCAAGAGCTTCGTAGGTAATGAACTCATTAATAAAGAAGTAGTCATGAAATTCAATCGCATCAACATTGGCAGGTGTCAGGCAGCAGGATGAGCAGGGCCAGGCTGCCTATGGGCTGTAGGATGTACCTCCTATAGGACGTGCCAGAGCACAGTGAAGAGCACTGAAAGCGCTCTAATAGACCCTGGAGTGCACTGAGTGTTCCTGGAAGGTCTCCAGGGTGCTTTAGAGCTCACTTGAGGGGCTGTATTTGTACTACAGTGGTCTTGAGTAAGCCTGGGAAGTCCTGGAAGTCCTCTGTTGGACACTAGGATGTTTTTATGGCACTCTGTAGAGCATTTAAGAGTTATGAGAGCGTTCTAGTGTGTCTCAGACTACAGTGGGAGGACCTGGGTGTCCTCTAGGACACACTAGGAAGCCTCTAATGTGGCTTAGAGCACATTCAGTGTCCCTGGGAGCACTCTAGCATGCCCTAGAGTACCTTGGGGGGCTCTGTGGAGCTCTCTAAGTGCATACTAGGAAGTTTCCAGGACAAACTAGAACACAGAGGGTGTATTTATTGACCCAGGGAGGCCTCTGCAGTCTTGAAAGCAGTGAGGTTTCTTTGGAGTTTTATGCATCTGAGAGTATGGAGGGGGCTATAAAACATGCTGGACAGTTGCAGGAATCTTGTGTAGTGTCTAAAATATGCTAGGGTGCCTTGCTGGCCTCTAGGGCACCCTACAGCACAGGGACAAGCTCTGGGATTATGCTAGCTCTCTGCCCATCTCTGCTTACTGGTGGTGGTGAAGTGAGGTGGTGGGGAACACTGAGGCACGGCGACACAAAGGAGGTCAGTTGTTGGGGCTGCAGTACTGGGTAGCCATGTTGGGTATCCAGTTGGGACGAGGGGTGAACGACTTGTGTGTTATGGCCTTTCTGAAGGCTCAGAAAGGGCTCTGTCCCTGTAGGCTTGTTGGGAGATAGAGCTCTGAGCCACCAAGGCTGCTGTGACCCCAGTACAGGGTCAGCTCTATAGGGCTCGAAGCTGCAGCCCTCATATGCCCAGTTCATTTGAGAGCTGTTTAAACTGTCACCTCCTTGGAACAGGAACTCCACTGCTTCCTGTTTCACAGAGTGCTGAGCTGGATGTCAGCTCTGGTTAAACGGAGAAGAGTAAGATTGCAATTAGCCTGGTGGATAAAAGACAGGAAAAAGTCTCAACTATGAGAAATCAACCCTTGTGGAACCACATGTGGAGAGCAAATGCTGGAGAAAGAAAAAAACAAAACACAACAAGTGGAAAAAATTCACTTATTACCTAAGTAAACAGCAGGGTAATTTGTTGGAGTAACAGCATGAGCTGTACCATATATCTGCAACAAGAATTCATTGCTGAGAGAAAAGCAGATGACTATAAGACACTGTGTGGTTGTTTTGGGAAATGTTAGTTATTTACTGTTGGTATAATAACAGAATTATCCTAGTAGTGCTGCAGCAAGCTAAAAGGAACATGTATAGCATAAAGCAAGTACAAAATATGCTGTGTCTGTGTCCCATATTTCAGGTAGATTAAAAACAGTCATGGATTCTTTCTTTATTATTATTATTTTTTGAATAGTACATATCCTGTGGGAGAACAAACATCTTAAAATTCATTTGGATCAACACACAGATGCCAGTAGGCAGTTAGCCAGGCTCTGCTGTGCATACTTAGGTTTGAAAAATACTTCCCTTCCTGCGTTGGAGACAAAAACGCCTTTTGCTCTCAGTGTTTTGATTGTTCATTTTTTAAAGCAAATGACAGCAGGTTGCTTAAAAGATTGTTAATAGGCTTTGTTCTCTGCTTTCAATTAAAGGCACATGTCAGCATACAGCACTGGACTCTTGAGGAACATCAGTGTTTCTGTAAAGTCTTATTTAAGTTGGGTAAATAAAGCTGAAAGTAAAGAACATTTTATGACACACTGATACAACTAAAACTTAACTCTCCTGATTGCCTTATGCCTCACTCCATGCTTATCACAAGGAAGCTGATGTAATGCTGCCGACTGAACCAGTGTTCTTACACCTTCCTAAATATGCTTTGATAGATCTGCTTACACCTTCTGTTCTCTTCCCTGTTGTTTCTTGACTGGGATGTGCTTTATTTGTTTATGCTGTCCATGTGATCTAAAGAAATGACCACACCAGAATTTAAACTGAATTTTCAGCTTCATGTTTTGAACCTGAATGTTGCTTTGTTTAGATTGCAGCTACCACTGCAGGGAACACGCGAGGGCAGAAAGAGTTGAGCTGGACTGGAGATATTGAATACAACTGATTCTAAGTTGTGAGTCCTGCAGTGGAGCTTCTTTCCTCTGAAAGCAGCAGAAAGCTGCAGTGACAGAAGCAGTGGCTGCCTCACACCATGCTGGGCACAGCCCTCGGCTTAGCGGTGGGTCAGAACACTTTGGGTAGGTTTGATGCCAGTTCCAGTTTTCCTGTTGGAATGGATGTTGGAATTGGAGACAGGAGATCTTAAGTTTGGGATATGTTGATACAAGAGGATAGGGCAGGAGGAAGTGAATGCTTAGAAAAAAACCAGACTGTGGGTAATCTGTAGCACAGTGTGTAAAGGTAGTTATCTTTGCAGGTGAAATACCTGATTTTCAGTCCTGCTGGGTAGTCTCTGTGCTGTGAGATAGTCCTGAGTTGGCTGTGGCACCTCTCTGTGTCTCTGTTTCCCCATCACTAAAGGAGGTGTAAGACGCTTCTTTGGTAATGCACAGCAGTACCTCTGGATGCTCTATGATATCTAAGAATTTTACAGCAAAGACATGGAGAGGAATACTTTTCTGGAGGAGGGTGAATCCTGCTCTCTACCTTTCCCTCTTGGGCTGCTCCAGCCTCTGCAGTGAGCTGGGGATCCCTCCTGTTCCTCTTCTCTATCTGAAGATGGGTGAGATGGGGGACACAACACACTTCTGTCTCCTCCCTGAAAACAGAGCGTGATCTTGTGATATGGTTTCAGGGTGCTATAATAAAGAAAGAGGAGCAAGCAAATCCATTCTGGATCTCAATCAGTAAGACTAAGCAGCCAGCTTTGCTTTGTTTTTGTTTTTGTTTCAGTAAAAGCATACTTCCCACAATAACTTCTGCAACTTACACGTGGCACAGAGGGGGATCAGTTCCAGTTGATATGAGCCTGGAAGAAGAGAGGGAGGAAATAACTTAATTGCTTTAGACTTCAGTTCAGCTGGAATCGAGAGGAAAGGATTGGTGTGCCTTTTATTTTTTGTTTGGAATACAACAAGAAGGTCGTGTTCTTGGTGAGGAGAGATCCTCTGCAGATTCTGTGAAGGTACAGTACATTGCAGGGCATTCCCAAAACAGGTGGCTTTGTATTTGAAGAAGTAACTCTGCTGCCGGTGACAAACAGCTGCATTGTTTTCTTGGAAGTACTGGTGCACTTGGAGCATGCTGTGTTATAAACAGCCTGCTCCTCTCTTTTTACCAAGGGGGAAGAAATAGGAAATGTGAGATTTTGGGGTTAACCGTGACTGCAGCAAGTTGAGGGGGAGTGCTTTGATGTTTAATGCTATAATATGGGGCTTAGAAAATACAGAAGAGATTGGTAAATAGGTGTTATGTTAAACGTTAGGGCTTTGCTTCTGAGACGTTTGTCACTTCACAACCTTCGTACCCCTGGTCTCTGAAGATCAGCTGATGTGTTTAAAATCAGGGGGAAGCAAAGGGGGGTAAGATGAAATACAGGAAATGCTGTGGATCTGTCTGCTCCTGGCTAATCTGAACCAGGCCCCCAGGGAACAGGAGGACATTCCCACCTGGAATTCAGATTTGGTGTTGAAGGCAGCTAAAATGAAAGATCTAGTAACAGGCAGTGCAGCTGCAATGCAATGCTAAAACACACACCGCCTCTGCTTCTGTCAAATCCAGCGTGCTTTCTTTTGGCATCTCTCACAGATCTCGCAAGCTGCACTGACAGAAAGCAGTGGGAGATCGTTTCTTGCCCAAGTCTTTATATTCAGACTATAGCTGCTTCCTCTTTCCTACTCACATTTTCCCATATGGTGACTTTGGAAAATTCCTCCCTGATTTCGCTGGGAAGTGCAGAAAACTCGTTGGTAGGGGGTTGCCTGTTACTCTCTCTGCTTCTGCTGCTCACATCTGAAACGGATCTGGCTTGGAAAGGGGAGACTTGCTCTGAGCTCAGCGCGTGTAACTGACATGGCATGAGCCGAGGGAGCCTGTGGGAGCACGGGAAATGCTCTTCTCCATTCATCTGATCTCTGACAGCAGAGGTGAGTTTCTCAGCACTTCATTGCTCTAAAAGCTGGATGGTCAGACCCCATGCAGCAGCCTGCCAGTCAGCAGCTCTGAGGGGACGTTCAGTGTAAGTCACAAATTTGCTTAACCTGTTGATGTTGAAGGAGAGGATGTTTTCTCAGCTGTGTGCGTGTTGTGTGAGAATGTGTGTGGAGAACCAACAGAAACAGAGGTGAGGTATTTTGAACGTGATTCTGCTGTTTACTGAGGTAATTATAAGCACTGAGAAACTACAGAACTCCTGATGCTTCAGCTCACTTTTTGAGAGGTTCCTTGTGCAACTTGCAGCCCCTGGGGCTGTGCAGCAGCAAAGTGCAGAAATCAGCGGTGGTTCTGTCTGGATGCACAAAGATGCAGCCACAGAAAACCCTGAAGTGGCTTTCAGTGAAACTTCAGTCTTTGGGTGAATGAGTCTGACAGCAAGGGAAGAATACTCTTTCCAGTTGGTTTTGAGCTACCCATTGCATAAGGTTTCTTAATAAGGATTTGGATTAGGCTCATGGGAATGAATTTAAATGGATCGAGTTTCTTCAGGCTTTCTTTGAACTGAAAGAAAAAGCCATGCCTGGTTTTACTGCCTGCACTCCAGATGCAAGCAGATGTTTATGTATCTGAAGTGTCTCCCGATGGTACCAGGGCAGCATTCCCCTCAAAGGCATCACCGCAGCAGCATGCATATTGAAGGCAGTGGGGTGAGATTGTCTCAGCAACTTTGCTGTACAATTGATGCAGTATTCCATGCTTTTATTTATTATTTTTTTCCTTAGCTAGTTTTCATGCCAATTGTTTCAGCTATAGATGTGGAAATGTCAGCATGCAGCAAACACAGAGACTGATACTAACCATGATGTAACTTGGCATGGAAAGTGTTGGCACTGTTACAGCAGGGCTGGGTTTGATCTGTATGCAGCATTTTTGTTTTCCTTTAGTTTTGTTTGTAGACACCTGTAAGAGGAAGTGATATAGGGGGGGAATATTTTGTTGGAGATCGGATATATCATACTTCCTGAGATTATTTTCTGGGATTATTTTCTCTAAGATTTCTGAAATATTTTCTAAGGTTAGGTCACCAAATACTAAGGATTTTACTAATCCACTGTTGGCATACTCATATGGCCAATTTTGATCTCACTATTAATATCTAGCTATATTGCCGTTTAAGGAAAACCATCTGATCCCTGGTATGTTTTATAAAGGAGATTAATTTCATTACATGCAGCTTTTACAGATATGGAAGCAGTGGAATAAAGGAGCAGGGTAAGAGGGATCAAGCAAACAATGTTAAATGCTTAAAATTACCCAGCATGTTTGTAGCAAAGACCAGGACCAAACCAAAACAGCCCGTGTCTCAAGCCAGAGCTCTGTCCTGTAATGTCACCTTCTCCTATTTCCTCAAGTGTAAGTCAATGTTTAAAGACATTAACTTCAGATTTTCATGACTGTGACTCACAGCAGGATTTCCCCAGTGCTTCCCAAGGGCCCAGAGTCTGGGGAATTTCAGCAGGTACAAGTGACAGACCATGGGGCTGCAAAGGGAGCAGTGCTGGTGCTGCCAGCCCGGCCTGTGGGGTGAATGGAGGACTTATTTCACACTGAGGTCAAGAATCCATTCTGCTTTTTTACCTTAAAAGTTCAGCCTAAACAGGAATTGCTCATCACTCTCAAATAATTTTGCAAAAAAAAAAATGGAAAAAAGCCATGACTCGTTCTGAGTGCAAATCGTTAAGAGTGAAATGTGAGAAGGGCAAGGAATGAGGCAGAGGGCTGGGGCAGGGCCAGCTGGCTGCTGGGCAGATGCTCCGCCGCTGTTTGCAGTATTTTAACCTGCTGCCAGGAAGACGAATGCTGAGCAGCAGCCAGGCTGTGGAGGTTCAGGTGGGCACTGCCAGGCGCAGCAGGAAGCCCGTCGTGGAGCTTGGCGGTGTCAAGCAGCGCCGGCAGGATGAGGCACTGTTGTACCTCAGCGAGACTCGCTTCCCTGTGCATCACTGCGAGGAGCAGTGTGACAGCAGTTACAGAAATAACATTGCATAACCTCCTGTATAAATCTCCAGGATCATCTGGTGTTTCTCAATATGAAAGATGCAATAAACAGTGTGAGTGGTCAGCAGTGGGGCGGGGGTCCCAGCTGGGGGCCTGTGGGGAGCTCAGGCCTCAGCAGCTGGGCTGCGGGGCCTCAAAAGCACCCCAGAGCACACAGGGAGAGCGGGAACACCTCAGGGCACGTGGGGAGAGCAGGAACGTGGTTCCCTCAGCTCACGGTGGGCGCTGGGCTGAAGGCTGGAGGAGGCCGGGCTGCCGGGCGGCTCCCACCTCGGGCTGACCCCTCTCTCTGTTCCAGGGGCGATGCCAGCCGGAGGCCGGGAGCTGCTGGTGCTGGGGCTGCTGGCGCTGGGCTGTGCCGCCGCCAACGACTTCCCCGAGGGTGTTGTGGGGCGAAGGCGCCCTCCAGGCCCGGCCCACGGCTGCCCCCGCGACTGCGGCTGCACCCAGGAGGGCGTCGTGGACTGCGGTGGCATCGACCTGAAGGAGTTCCCGCTGCTGCTGCCGGAGCTGACCAACCACCTCTCGCTGCAGGTAAGCGTCTGCATCGCCCGCCCTGGCTCTATCCTGCCTCCTTGGTGTGTGCTGGAAGCAGCGGGCCCGATGCTGGTGCTGCACTCGGTTCCCCTCGCCCACCTGTGGGTCTCCCACCATCTCAGGATCTCCTGCTCTAATGCCAAAAACAGGAAAGCTACTTTGGAACAGCAGCTGTCACTTTCTGTGTATTAGCTTGGCTTCCAGTATAGCAGGTCTCCTTTTTCAGCCTCCTAGATGCTAAAACACTAAATTCATAAATGGTCTAAATGTTAGTAAACTTGTCAATGAAAATCTGATGGTAGTCACTCCTGGCCAGTGAAAAAAGGAGTGCAGTTTGACTGTCTGCTCATGACAAGTTTGCAGTGGGACAAAAATCCTTCGTGTTAAAAACAACACTCAAATAACAGCAGCAATAAATGTGAAGTTCCACAGTGCCAACCTTGTAGCAAATGCTTTGCTGCGACTTCAAGGCTGTGGCAAATGGATTATAGGTCTTGCCAGGCATGATCGCACTGTGCTACCAGTGCATAAGTTGGATATTTATAGGGATGGACACAGGCTGCAGAATTTGTTTCAGGCCTTCAAATGCTGCTGGGTTTTGATGTATTCGTTTTGAGATCCAAACTTGGCTCATTATGGAGAGAAAGCTGTTGACAGTGATTTTACATGGTTGGTTAATTTCCAAATTTTATTGAAGTTCACAGTCTGGGTTTTATTGAGAACTTTCTTGGACCACTTTGCTGATGATTAACACTCTGTTTTCTTAGAACAACCAGATAGAAGAAATCTTTCCAGAAGAGCTTGCTCGTCTTCACAGACTGGAAACTCTAAATTTGCAAAACAACAGGCTGACTTCAAAAGGTAATGTGGAAGAGCTGTGAAGTGCACAGAACAACAGCAGCCCTGTGACAGCTGATAGGGAAAGCTGTAAGACTTCATGGGCCGACTTGACTGTAGTGGTTTTCTGTAAGCATCCCACAGATCGTGAAGGCATTTTATCGTCTGAAACATAATTCTCAGTGTATAAAAATGCAGTCGTACTGAACCAGTGGAGGAGACCTGGCAGCAGCACTGTGTTCTGTGGTGTGAGAGCTTATCCAGGAAACTCCCTCCAGTCCCTCAGGCACATCAGTGCAGTGCACTTGAGAACCAGAAATGTCTACATGCTGAATGATTTCCTTTTGACTGACCTTGTTTCTTAATCCACTAAACGTTCAGTCAGTCACTGCAGTTTAGTCCAGTTTGGTCCTTGTTGAATTAAATATAAAAACAAATAATATAGATTACAAATAAGGCAAGTTCTGCCCTTTAAAAATCATTGTGACTTCTGTAGGCAGGTGTTGCTTGCTAAGTCTAGTGTTTATTGGAGAGACCTGACAACTGCCCCAGTCAGGAAAGCAGGAGTTGTAGTAAACAGTAAGAGAGCAGGGCACACAATACAAAAGAGAGAATTGTTTGCTTTCATGTCATCCAGTTGCTCTGAATGCTCCTGCTATCTTTATTGCAAAGATAGGGAACAGCTTTGATTGAGAATGCAGACGTTTCATGGAACCCAAAGCATATCATTCTTGCATGGTACAAAGAAGACTGCTTAATACATTCTGACTTTCATATTATTACCTTTTGGGTGTGCTGTAAACCTCAGTGCAACCCTAGGTTTCATGTATGCTTTGATATGGGAAATAGCTTCACCTTTCACTTTTGGTTATCTAAGTGCTGGGTGAAAGTGTCTTTTGTACACTTGCCATTGTGACTGAAACAGTGCTTGTGGGATCATCTGGGTGTGGAGCAATTCAGCTGAAAAACAGTAATTATTGGAGCATGATTAGCTTTGAACTGGATTGACTCTAGGCTGGTTACTGCATGGTTATATGGATTGTGGGGAAACAATGAAAGAGGAGTTACAACATGCAGCTACTGATGTTATGATGGCAACATCATAGTCATACATCATACTGATCTGGTCATTAAACAACCTCAGATTATGTCCCACCAAGAGAAGTTATCTGTAGATTCATCTAGAAAGTGACAAAATAAACTTATCAGATAGCATGGTTGCTGAAGCACTTATAATCAGCTGTACAGCAAGTCTATACCTGCTCTGTACATGAATCCTGCCAGAGGGGTTGGCCACCAGCCCTGCCTGCTTAGTGTTTCTAATGGTCGTACATTGCTCTTAATGCTCTGCTTTGGTTTGGTTGGTTTTTTATAAAAAAAAAAGCAACAATAGGTCTGAAACAGGTTGCTTCAGTGCCAAAGAAGAATATTTAAAATCTTGTTTTAAAATATTCTCTGAAAAATACCCTCTTGTACTTCCAAGCAGGGAGGCAATGGGATGCCAGTGTTTCTGATCAGAATTTTTCTTGTTTTTAAGGGCTGCCAGAGGAAGCATTTGAGCACCTGGAGAACCTGAATTACCTATACTTGGCAAACAATAAGGTAAGAGGCTCAGACGGCTTTCAGAATTCTTTTCTAATTGGGTTCTGAAAGCTCAACAAGCAAGTCTTCTATTCTTTTTAAAATGTATATCCTGTGTAAGTAAAATTGTCCTGAAGTGATATTCTAGTGAAGGTTCATTTAAGGTCAAGGCAAGCAGTGGGTATTATAAAAACTTAGGAGGTTCACACAACAGTATATTTTCAAGGCCTACTTTGTGCAGCTAGTGAAAACTTGCCCTTGTGTGTGTAGGCAGGCATGGAGAGCCTCTGCAATTTAAATTGCCACTGTTCTCAGTAGGCTTAGGATCAGCTGCATACACAGTTGGTAGCTGCATGTATGCAAATAGGCTGTGGGGTAATGGTGCAAAGTGTTGCCTGTCTCATCAGATGAGGCTGGGTTGAAAAACCTGTGAACAAACACATCCTGCTACCTGTGTATGTGTGTGCCAGCGAGATCAGCAAAATGCCATTTTCCTGGGCCCCCATTCTCACTGGGTTTGCTGTGGGGGGATACCCACACACAGTGAAACTGAGCAGGTCATTAACTTATTGTTTTACCTGCAGTGGTAGGAGCTGGACTTCTTTCAGTGAAGAAGTTCACAACTGGGGGATACAAGTTGGATGTAATGACAGAAAAGCACTTCCCTCCCTGCCAAAGGAAATGCCTTCTCACATATGTTTATATCTGGAGGTTCCCATTGTGGCTTTCTTTTTCTCTGGTGATCCCCCACAAATATTTGCTACAGAAGGAACTAGAATACCACAAAAAATATATGAGTTGAAACATCAGACAGACCTTCTTTTGCCTAATACCTTTCCCTTCCTCTCTCTCTCTCTATATGCATTTCTATGCATGTCTGCAGATATATTTTATTATCCTTTTAACATCTGTGACCCTTTGATGTTTCCTTTAAATACACGTGGCCACACTGAGGTTTCAGCCAGGCCAAGGCATTTCCAGAATCACTCCATGATTTTCTGTATGGAGTTATTGAGAATAGAACCCATTATTTAGTACAGTAACATTGTGTTCTTTTCTCTCTTTCAAGCACCATTTCCATATAACAATCTTGGCAGTTAATAACTCCATAAAAAGGAATAAGCCAGACTGTGACTCATATTCCAGAACTTTGCACTCCAGTTTTCCCTGTGTGACAAAACAAAATGTTTGGGGTTTCTGGCTTGACTGCAGAGAGAAAAGGATCCCAATAGAAAATGCAAACATCAGCGAATGTCAGAACTAGTTATGGTGAGAAGTTGTGGACCCACAGAAATAACACATTTCTTTATAAATCACAAGCCAGGAGAAACCATATTGGCTTCAAACTGCATCACTCTGCCCTGGGAAGTGCTGCAGATCAAGTAACTGTGGTGTCTGGAGGAGAGCAGGGATTTGCTGGTAGTTTGCTCCTTGTTTTATGGGTTATCTGCACTTGTGATCCCATCAGATATTGTTTTTCATTAAACGAGCTTGGTTGGTTGGAGAAATGAAATATCATAATAGACTAAAGTGGCTTTTTAGTAATAATGCTTATTTGATGCAGTAGTTTCCTTCTGAATTTTTCATCACGCTCACAGTGTGTATCAATCACATCGTAGCTGCAGAGAGCCTCGTAACTGAAGGCTCTCCCACCCAACTACAGAGCATGTCCTGAGCTGCCACTGTTATTTACTGTAAGCTGCTGATTTTGGTGGCAGAAGGTTTTGCATCTCCAAATATTCCCGTAGTGACAGGGGATTCACTTGGATCCAGTGCTTTTGTTGATACCAAAGCTTATGGTAAGCAAGAAAATTTGTTTCAAACAAGTAATAACTTTTGTATAATCCTTCTAAGCTCATTGCTTTACTATATGTTATTAGTGGAGAAACAGTATATAGCATGGAAAGGAAGATTCGACAGTAAAGCTGCAAGAAAATTGCATCTGCAGAAATGCAGATTGCTTCTTGTTAGGCAACATATCAGATGAAGCTACTCAGACACTTTGGTTTTGCTAAGTTACAGCACTCCAGCATTAATCCTTCAAGCAATCAGCCACTGGAGATCCATCAGTCTCGTGGCTGAATGCCGAAATGCCAAAGATGAGTCCTGTGCAAGCGAAAACTCTCTTTGAATGAAACTTTTTCCTTTCTTGTGGTTCAGATGTTTCTCATTTCATATATCTGAGCCATTCCTTTTGTTTTGTGTAAGTTATGACCCAATAGACTGGGTTTCAGGAGAAAAGCTTTAATGTGCCACCATATATGAAAATGATTAACTCTGTTTCCTGTTTTTTTCACCGTTATGTCGTGATAGTGACTTAGTTCTTTCTGAGGCACTGTCAGACCTTCCTAATCAGATACGGGTCCACTTGCACGGTATCCTATTACCCAGGTCAGGAGGTGACAAACTACCAGTAAATTCAAAGGCTTTAGGAAACAAAAAAAGTCAGAATGTCTGTAGAAGAGTCCTTCAGAGTCCTTCAGAGTGTAGGTAAAGTATTTGATCAGTTGTCTCACTGGTGCTATAGTTAACACATGTAACCATGGTAGCACATGCATACTGCAGTTCAGTAGTCTGCTTATGCAGAAGGCACAAGCATACAAGAAGGCATAAGAGACTGAAGGCTCGTATCCAGCACAGCATTGTGCTGAGAATTTCTTTCCCGGGGCTTAATCTTCTGGGTTCATGCTTTCCACAGAATTGCCCTCCAGCCCATAAAAATGCAACCTGTAATCTTGGTGTCTAGATGAATAATTACTACTAGCAGCCACACACCAAAGCTTGCTGTTGTATTACCCAAACCTTCTGTAAAACTAAGCTTTTTAATCACTAGTTCTCACTCCACTGAGTTTTACTCAAATACAGTGTTCTGAGCATTTCTTTTTATATCACCAATGGAAACAGCAATAGACCAAAAGCAAACAGGACCTCTCCTACCTCTCTTCAACTGAGAAGTTTTGCAGAGTCAAGAACTTTTCGTGTTTTGTTTCTGATACCTCACTTGCTTAGTGAGCAAGGTATCATTGTACAGCTTTGAGATTCCATTTGATATTTCATCATTTGACTCAGAAGCGTCTCTGCACTTTGGGAACCTGCATCCTTTGTTGAAGAGATTGTTTTAAATGGATGCAATACTGGTAGACATGTGAAATGACATTCCCAGCCTGTGAACCAACAGACTTCCTTATGGAAGTAAATAGTAGGCCAGTATGAGGTGGGATTTTTTTGGCTCACCAGACCAAGGATTATGAACAATAATAAGCATGGCATTTACTCTTAGGATAACAATTTCTTGACTTCTTCCACCAAGAGACAGGATGCTTCCAAGCAAAACAAACGTTCACATATCTTGGAGCAAAAATCTGTCTCCTTCCTGGAGAGATTAGCAAGTGAGGACAATTTATTTTTTAAATTATTTTTCATGCAATATGTGTTCTGTTTCAGAGAAAAAAAATTTGCAAGTGTTTTGTGTACGATCTAATGCTTGCTTAAAATGTTGCATTTAATTGAAATTCGCATCTGTATTTCTCTTTCAGCTAACAGTGGCTCCAAAATTCCTACCAAATACCTTGATCAGTGCAGATTTTGCAGCCAATTATCTCACTAAGATATATGGGCTCACATTTGGACAGAAACCAAACTTGAGGTAAGGGATTGGGAAGTGAAATAAGACTGGAGTTCTGACACTGCTTGGAGGCTCTTGATAAGTTTAAGAAATTTTCTGGCTAAGCCATTTTATTGCCTACTGATATTTTTTGGAAGGAAGCTGACTACTTGTTAATCTCAGCATGAAGGATCCGACAAACACATTCCAAGGGCTTCTAGTAGCTGCCAACTTTTGCATAGATAAAAATTAAATTATTTCCATTTTGTTTGTGCTTCAGGAACAGCTTTAGTTTCCCAGAATGTGGATTAATAGTTAGAAATCCCCATTTTTTAATAATCCATTCATTAAAAAATTAGAATCATGTTGGGAATGCAATACTCAACACAGTTGAGTATAACTCAACTGTATTAAACCTAAGCATAGTAACCTTCCTTCACAAGTGGTTCATACCCTCTGGTCTGGTTTCAAAGGCCTCTCTGCTAGTTTCAGGTTTTGATTTTGTCAGCTGAAGCCATTGTAATGCTTTAGTCCATCTCAAATTCAGCTGCACGTAGACAGACCTCCTGTGAGATACAGTCTTTCCCAAAGGCATTTTGAGTAATCTATTTATAGGGACAGTACAGCATCTAAATCCTGCAGAGATGTCTCAAACTCTGTTGATAGCAATTTATGCATCCAAATTCAGAACTACTTAAAAATGGCTAACCCAGTTGAGCTCCTAGAGCCCAATCTTATGATGAACTGAAGAGCTTTCAGTTCCCTCTGGTTTCACTGAGAACAGAAGCTACTCAGTACTTACTAGACCTCTAGTCTTGTAAGCTCTTGGTAGATGAAAAGACTGAATCGGGCATTGGTTTCAGGCAATATCTCATCACGAAAAAAGCTAGATTTATACACATTCTTCCTTCATCTGAGTTACATAAGTTACTATGTTCCAATCTTGTATTAAAATTCTTGCACTCTTCAGAAGTGATTTTCACATACTTTCCCACAACAGCGCTCATTTTAATCTTCTGAGAATTGATTCATCCATTTCCGAGTTTCTGTCCCCAGCAGAGTTAATGATCTTAGGCTCATTATTTGGAAATAACATTTTCAGAAAGGCAAATATTTATGAGTTAGAAGCACAGCTGACCATGAAAGGTGAACTGTATTTTCATGTGGCTCTGAACCTCCTGGAGCGTCTGGTCACACTATTGTGTTTCCATACTGAGCCTTTCCTTCCTTTCCCGAAAGATGCCAAGTTCTCTGCCACCAGTAGAGAGTCCAAGAATAAGCTGTCAAAGAAAACTTTACACTGTACTCTTTTGCAGTTTTAACCTGAGTCCATGACTTTAACTGCTACTGCATCTTGGGTGCACACAGGAAATGAAGGGATAATGGAAGCATGTAAAATCTCATAATTTCTTCTGTTAAAAAGAAGTCAAATTAATTTGTTTAGGAGTTAAACCAATGAAAGCAGCAATTACTTCACAGAAGCCAGTTGCTTTATACAGAATTAAATCCTGTGTAAGGAAGATGAAATCATTTTTAAAACTGATCGGAGAAACTCTTTGGTGAATATTAAAGGTTAAAAGTAAGAAGGGAAAGCTAGAAACTATCTTTCTCTAGATCCCAAAAGGTCATTAAAAAACGAAACTCTTACAGATTTGTTCTTTCTGACATCATTGTTTGCCCTTTTGAATTCTAGAAGTAGAAGGCAAACTGTTTCCTGAGGTATTTTGAGCCTTCATGGCAGCAGAAAGAACGGAGGGGTGTGAAACAGCCTTTCCTCAAGAGATCTGCAGGTTGATTTTGCAAGTTGAAGAAGCCCAGATTTGACTCCAAATAGAAGTTAAGATTGGAGTTAAGGAGATATCTTAAGAAGTTAAGATACCTATTAATCCGATAGGATTTCTGACCCTTTCGAGTGAGGCCACCACACTGATGTGTTTCATTTCTCTTAACCAAAAGCAAAGCCAAGTCCAAATGGCAAAACTGAAATGTAGACTTTAAAGGAATGCAGTCCCAAATTTACATTCATTTTCTTGTTAAGATAATGAGGCTATTTGTGAAATTCATATTCACATCCAGGATGGAATTTAAATAGACCTAAATTTCAAAGAATATTCAGACCAATCATTTGGTTGTGCTTGTATATATATGCCTTGCCAAATTAAAGGCCATGTTTTGATAACAAATCTAATTAAGGGAAGAAGAATAGGCTGAAATAAGTTTTTAAACAGCTTTCTTTTGGTAAAATGAACAAACAGATCTAAATATCTGTTTGACTTCATCTTTTTTCTTCTTCTGACAGGTCTGTTTACCTTCATAACAACAAACTTTCAGATGCTGGCTTACCTGATAATATGTTCAATGGCTCTAACAACGTGGAGATACTCATCATGTCCAGCAATTTCCTGAAATATGTTCCGAAGAATCTCCCTCCAGCATTATACAAATTACATTTAAAGGTAATGACACCAGGGTTTTGTATTCCTTTACGACTGTGACAAAAGTACTGTGTTGTGTGAGATTCAAACTACACAACCAAGTAATGTAATTTCACTTGAAAACATTCCCAGGCCCTCTGTAAGTCTCATCTGCTATGCTCTAGTAGCCACAGTAGCCACAGTAGCTATTTCCCAAGTCATTACTATTTTGTTCATAAGGAATAGAGTGTTTTTGCAAAATATCACAATGCTCACAGGGGGAAAAAATCACTTTTCAGTGTTTTCAGGGGAATGAAAAGCATGTGCGTGTGATGGTACTGTTGATCTCTTTCTTGGCAATAATCATATGAATGCATATTAGTACAAGAAGGTAGGTCATTCTTCATGGCCATCCACTAATCGGATCAAGGTCAAGGTTGCCACTGATGATGGTGCTTTTTCTGACAGCTGCTTACCCATTAGATATTGCCTGTGCTCACTAATTGCCATCCTGGAGACTGCTGTTCCCTAGCACCAGTGATATTTTGTTTGCTACTGAACTGGCAATTCAGTCAACACAGAGAAAGTTTGGATCAGTGAATCTTCACTGCTACAGCTTCGCCAGCAGTCGTGTAATGCAGAAGTTGTGGTATTATCTAGTCTTCAGCATTTTTAATTCTGTCATCTGATTTTGATGAAAAATACTTCATAATTGTCTGTTCTTAACTTTGTTAACAATGGGAGAGCTGCAGTGGTGGGGAATCCTGGTTCTGTTTGTTCCCAGTGTTGACAGTTCCTTGGACGTCTGTAGACTGCAGTCTATTTATAGAATCATAGAAGAGTTTAGGTTGGAAGAAACCTTAAAGATCATCTAGTTCCAACCCCCTGCTGTAGGCAGGGACACTGCCCACTAGACCACGTCATTCACAGCCTTGAATGCTTCCAGAGAGGGGGCATCTGCAACCTCGCTGAGCAACCTGTTCCAGTGTCTCACCACTCTCAAGGTAAAGGATTTCTTCCTAACACATGGTCTAAAACTACCCTCTTCCAGTTTAAGGCCGTTTCCCCTTGTCCTGTTGCTACCTGTTCTGTTCCCTCCCCAGCTTTCCTGTAGGCCCCCATTCAGGTACTGGAAGGCTGCTCTCAGGTCCCCCCAGAGCCAGATCTTCCTTCTCCAAGTTCTTACCTTTGCTTCCTGCAGCTTGGGTGGTTTGGCTAGAGCCTGTGCCTGTGAAGACTAAGGCAAAAAAGTGATTGAACACCTGCTACCAGCCCTCGGACTTGTGACATTCTGTGTTGCCTCCCAGCTTCCTTTTCCCTTGAAGGTTTCATGCTAAATTCCATTAAAGTCTTCTACAAAACTTGTACAAAGACTTCTGTAGGTTGAAGAAGGCAAAGATTTTCTCTGTCATATTATGAAGTTACTAAAGCCCTGGATTTTGTTGCAATTCATAAGTAATTGTTATCTCCTAGATGAAGGCTTAGCCTTCAGGGATTGTTCTTCAGGACTCATATTCTTCCCTGCTGTCCCAGCTGTGTTCAGGGCAGAAAAATGAAAGAGGGAAACAAGCATTTTGTTTTCAAGTGCACTGCCTGTCATCTAACTGGACAAGTTAACAGAACACACCAGTGAGAAACAAAATACTGATTGAAAGAGTACTTGTAGGTGTGACAGGTCTTTTTCTTCACTCTTCACTGTAATCTGCAGCCAAGTCTCTCTGTGATGGTATCCACTTCACATGAATTGGGACCATGCCTAGTCTAGTCTGCTCCTCACATTATTGCTTGTACCTGAAGGGCACTGGAACAGGCTGCCCAGAGAGGTTGTGGATGCCCCATCCCTAGAGGTGGGGCCCTGGGCAGCCTGGTCTAGTATGAAATAGGGAGGTTGGTGGCCCTGCATGTGGCAGGGGGTTGGGGCTTCCAACCCTGGCCATTCTGTGATTCTGTGATTCTGTGAAGGGTGGGAAGTTAAACAAATTCAGTTTCGATATTTTATGTGTACTTTTATAATTCCTACAGTTCCTGTATGGAATTCATAAATGGAATTTAGTTTTGCATTTTGTTCATGTCTGCTGGCTGGCTACTCAAAAGCAGCACTAAAGCAATAGGAATAATTGCTTCAGAATCTACACTGCAGGAACTGAGCCTTTTCAAATGTCAAACACTGGAAGAATGGCTGGTTCCCAGCTTCCAAACTGATTCTTCTTTATGGTAAAATCTGTCTTAGAAAATTCAGAAATTCTGAGCAAACTGCAGGGCCACTTACTTGGATTACACTGTAGATGTGTACATAGGTGCAAGGGCTGTATGAATACAAAATGAAACCCTCCTGGAGTGCCAGACTGTAACTTCTTAGCCTAAAAAATTCAACTGGAAATCAATTATTGTGCTTAGTTGTAATACTTTTTATCTAGTATTTGTATTTATTTCTTAGGTGGAATTAAAACTTCCAGTGAAACACCTGAAGTCTAGCTCTTTTGAAATTTAATTGCCTGGTAATAGCTGAGCAGAACCTGTGTGTCCTATGTTGTTTCATGCTAAATAATGTGCAATGTGCTTCTGATGACTCTAGAACAACAAGCTAGAGAAGATTCCCAAAGGAGCCTTCAGTGAACTTACAGGCCTGCGGGAGCTGTACTTACAGAATAACTACCTGACTAATGAAGGAATGGACAACGAAACTTTCTGGTGAGATTCAGGCCTGTAGTTTGCACCTGTGTCTGTCTGCCTCCTCTGATATAGTAGTACATCTACAAAAAAAAAAGCACAAATACTTACAATACACTTAGTAAAAGCTGCGCTGTTACGCATTCCTCTGGTAGGTTGAGATGAAAAGACATAGACTCAGATACTGTCATTGAAAAGCACAGGTCTTGGTGAGTGCTTTGAATTCACACACCAGAGTTCCATTATACAGAAGACAGAACACTGAACATCAGACCACATCACTGCTTGATTGCTGCAGACCCAATCACAGGAGGAGCTAATTGCCCTCTGAGAAAAGGCAATCTAGAACGATGGTGCAGGCTGCTCTCCATTTTTCCAAACAAGACAGAAGTGAGGCTACTTGAGATGTCTCAGTTTCCAGGGCAGTTCACTAGGAGTTAAGGCCAGACCTTCACCTTTGCTATGTCACTTGTGTTTTGTTCTGTTTTAGTGACTTGCAAGCAGCCACAGATACACAGTTGTGAATTAATAGCTGTCCCCCAGTGTGCAGGGATTGCTGGAGTTACAGGGGATGTAATGGTGCTGCTCAATGGCCAGATGACTGCAAAAGCTTTTCTACAAACTGATACAACTGGAATAGCCTTTGCTGTCCTATTTACCCTTTCTTTCTGCTTGCACTGAGTCCTGCCCTAGTTCTACCTGAAAATCCAGACCACATAATCTGTCATGCCTATAACTTGCCATGAATCCTTTTCTGGTCTAGTAAACTTCTCTGGTCTCTAAAAATAGGAAGCTCTTTTCCATGAACCACTCCCAGAAACCTCCCAGAGTAATTTACCTTAGTTCTGCTGTGTCACCCTACAGGTAATGTTGGACATAACATTTCTGTTAAGATTCCGGTGAACACGGTGCAGTGGCCGTAGCTCAGGCAGCAGTCACAGTCAGCAGATGGGGGTGGATGTTACTCTTTGCTGTACAGTACCCAGGCTAAGGAAGCAGTACAGACTGCAGTAATGTACTTTTTTACCCAGAAAGTGTATTTGTTCATTCAGACTGTACTTGGAGGGCTCTGAACAACAGTGTAGTAAACAGTAAGAAATGTCTGTAATGTATTAATTCTTGTATTTCCTGAGAGCTTTCTAGTCATCTGCAGTGAGCTATGTAGTGCCATGCAGATTACAGTCTCCTCACAGGAGCGCCTCAGTCTTGGCATGTAACATCACTGATCCACATCCAGTTGGTGTAAGTGGCTGGTCTGAGGATTTATTTTAGCTTCAACTGAGTCTATGGAATCCAGATTCAGTAGCTTACACAAAGCAGATCTACCCCTGACTCACTTCCATAATACTGGAGGGTCAGGAGAAGTTCAGTATCTTAGTCTAGGACACTGAATTAGCATTTCTAATTTTCATTACAGTAACATTTCATCGTCTCAAAAGCAGGCCTACTTTTCAGTTTCAATATGCAATTTCAGAGAGGCAAAAATTATTCAGGCTGTTTCTGTGAAATGGACTGTAAAATCCTAGGGAAGGCTGAATATTGTTTCACCTTGCACAATCTAAATGGAGAGTGTTTTCTTTCCTGCTTTCTCAAGGAAACTCTCTAGTCTTGAATATCTGGATTTGTCCAGCAATAACCTCTCACAAATCCCAAGTGGTTTGCCTCGAAACATCGTCCTCCTTCACCTGGAGAAGAATGCAATTAAGGTGATTGGTAGAGATGTCCTGACCCAAATTAAGAACCTTGAGTACCTCCTGCTCCATAATAACAAATTAAAAGCCCGAGGAATTCACCCGTCAGCCTTCCAGGGCTTGAAGAAACTGCACACTGTCCATCTGTACAACAACCTCCTGGAAAGGATTCCCAGTGGGCTGCCTCGACGAGTGAAAACACTCATGATCCTGCATAACCAGATTTCTGAGATTAACAGGAATGACTTTGCTACCACTTACTTCCTTGAAGAGCTGAACCTGAGCTACAATAAGCTCAAGAGTCCCCAGATCCATCGGGAGGCCTTCCGTAAACTGAGGCAACTGAAGTCCCTGGATCTTTCTGGAAACAACCTCAACACGGTGCCCTATGGCTTTCCAAAGAACTTGCAGGTTCTGAAGCTGAAGGAAAATGAGATAAGTGACATCCCCAAAGGGACTCTGTCTGGGATGACAAAACTGCGGGAATTATATTTGAGCAACAATAAACTGAAAGTAAACTCCATTTATTCAAGAGCGTGGAGGGAGCTCAGCAGTCTCCAGGTAGAAACATCACCTTCTCTTATTGTGGTCATATTGCTAATGTCCTCCTCTGTCTGCCTAAGCCAGTTTATGTGGCACCAATACTAGCTTTGCTTGGAATGCATGTACTGGGCTTGCATTTTAAGTGCCATGTGCTCTGTTTCTAGCAACTGAAAGGTTGTGCTGTGGTGCCAGAGGTGAGTACCTCCCACTGCTGACTGGAGCGGTGGTCCACCGTGTACTGCTAATTCTGGGAAATGTTAAGACATTTTTGTTTCTCAATCCTAATGCTGTCCTTTATTTTCAGCTAAATATTAATGAACGTTGTCATTAAAACTGAAACTCTGTGTTTCAAATAGCTTGTCTTCCAAAAGATCTGAAATCAGCTCTGAAGAGAGACAGCAGGAAGAAGGAATGCATAAACAAAACCACTCTTAATTCTCAAAGCCCCCCACATCAGCTTATAGTCAGACAGGCCAAGCTACAGGATTTAGCAGCTCAGCTGGCTAAGGCACCTGGATAGCACTTAGGAGGTCTGGATTCAATCAGCAGTCTCATCATTTGCTTAATTGTTCGAGAAAGTTAAACACAAACCATAAGGCAGTCAGGAACAATCTCGTTTCTGCTGTGCAAAATGACCTTTCAGAATTGTTACACTGGCTGAAGGATTTGTCTGCATTTCCTCTTAGGTAACAGCCTGTTTCCTGCAGTAAAAGGCATTACCTATGCCATCTGGTAACCATCTATGATGCCTACTGTTAGGTCACTGTGCAAGCAAAATTTATACTTCTGAAAGCAGATAAGGGATAGAAGATGTGGAATGTATGTTTTACTGGCCCCCAGTGTGTTTTCAGACAATGTAAACATTTATCTGTGTTAATATTTTCTTGGAATAAATAAGAGCTTATTTTTCAGTTAATGTAAACCAGCAGTGCAATAATAGCATCTGTAGCACTGTTGCTTTGCATCAGCTGTAGATTTGGTTGATGATTCCAGTGATATATTTTGCATTTGTTTGGTGCCTCAGTGACGTGTGTGCAAATATGTCAGAGAGAGAATGCAGTTGGGAAGGAAGATACTGATAAGAATTGTAGATACTGGCACCATTTACCTGCAGTAGCTTAATGAAATGCAACCATTGTCACCTGTCTTTTTTTTTTTTTTCCCTCTACACAAAAATAGGTCATGAGACCTATTGCCAGCTTTAGTACTGGTTGGAATTAAAAAATTACAAGCTTACCTTCTTGAAAGGCCTGATTCATTGCAGTTTCACCTCACTTTTATGCTGCTGTCACTCTTTTGTAGTTGGTGTCAAGCCAGAGTAATGCACTCCTGAATCAAACTCTGGCCTTTCAGCTGCACCTTTTCCACAGCAAACCCCACTCATATTAAGCAGGACTCATATTAAGTATATTAATATTAATATAATATTAACTCACATTAAGATAATAGCATGTATGCAAGATTCTGTTAAACTGACAGTCTTTTTTTTGGTGTTGTGACTTCTTCTTGAGCAGCCTTACTACCTGTTAAGTATTTCCATGATAGTATGTATTAATCTTTTTTCACCGTGAAGGGCTTAACTCTGCAATAGGTTAATGAGTTGGTGCACTGGAGATTTGACAAATAACAGTCAGGTCTAAGATCCTGATTGTGCAAGTACTTAGCATGCAGTCCTGTCCACACTGTTACCATGGAAATCACTGAAGACTGCTAGCAATTGCAAAGCTAGGCATTTGCATAATTGTTTGCCAGACTGGGATTATGTTGAGGAGAAGAACAATGAAATCATGACAATCGTCTGTAGAACTGTAGCTGAATAATGTGACTAGCATGTCAGCTTGGGAAGTGCTACATATAGCATACAACACTTATTTTAGTCAATTTTCATGCTGAAAACTTTTATAAGGAAGTGTCATGACCTGTAGTCCTGATGTTTTCATATGTTGCTCTGTGTGTTTTTATGTGTGATTGTATCTAATATAACCACAGCTAGTGAAGCATTTGCAGTAGCAGCTTCCAAGGACTTCCCAACATATCTGAAACCCAGTCTGCCTGTAAACCACTGTAAGTAGTCATGGGCTAAAGCCTGAGGACAGAGATAAAGAAGTGTTGGGACTGCTTAAGAAAACAGCATACATGGCATGTCCTGTGAAATCGTGATGTTAAATGGTAGCACAAGAAAGCAGAATTGCAGCAGCCACCTTTTCCTTGACGCGAGTTACATGAACTCAGTTTATGCTACAGTAAACATGGCTTCAGTTTTCCACTATGAACTCAAACAGAACCTTTCTGCATGGATGACACCCTACAGTTTCCATTCTGCACACAGTGTTCTTTTCCTGACCTCACCAGAAGGGAAAGGTGTAGTGAGCAGACTCACTAAAGCAACATCTGAAAAATAAAGCTTGTTTCCAGATGATTTGCAAACAAAAATCCTGGATAGAGCTTTACATTAACATCACTTCTGTACTGTTATCATCCTAATTTCTTATAAGTGTGTTATACACATATGAATGTTTGTATATTTACATGTATATATATACATAAAAACAGTGGATAACATGTAGAAGGAGAGGTGTATGTACACAGCCAGCTTTTGAAAGCTCATTTATTGTGAAACTTCTATTTTTGGAGTGTTGCTGATATTCACATTTGATCATTTATTTAACCCCTTGCTGTCTCTTACAGTCACTAGACATGGCTGGCAACCAGCTGACTTCGATCCCCTCAGGCCTGCCAGAATCTCTAGAGTATCTGTATCTTCAGAACAACAAGATCACAGTTGTTTCAGAGGATGTTTTTGAGTCCACACCCAAACTAAAGGGAATTTACCTCAGGTGAGTTCAGGTTTCCACTTCAACACACAAGATTTTTCTTTTTTATTCACTTTACTGTTGCTTACTTTCTAGAAATTATTTAAAATTTTAACTTTCTAAATAAGCATCTTTGTTTTATAGAAATTCAATGAAGCTATGCTCATCTGCTGAGGAAAGACATGGATACATAAAACGTGCTCTTCAGAGATTTTCCTTTCTGTCTTTATGAGAATGGATTAGGCGTGTTAGAAATTCTGGGAAGTCAATGTTTAACACTATCTCATATTCCAATATTCAGACTAAATACAGCTCAGTTGTAAGACTACAGCTCTGCCTCTGTCTGCTGCCCCTGGCTTTTCATAGTGTACAAAAACCTCCTGTCATGAGCCTTGCACATCTGATCTTGACGTGGTGTGCTTTTCTGCAATAGTTTTGTCAGAAACAGATGTCAATGCTGTCAGCTATCACAAATGTGACAATTGCAACTAAATTTAGAAAGATTTTCTGTTTTTTTTCCTATTCTGTCAACTGGATGAGAACCTTGTTTATTAAACCTAATATTTTACAAGTGGCAGATGCCAAACTTGTTTCACACCAAATGTAAACTCACAATAAAGTAACTTTAAGCAGAGTTACTGAGGACTTAAGCACAAGAAGGGAAGCCAGGATCTGGCCAAATAATATATTCAATTTTAATCAAACAGAACATTAATGAAAATAGTACTTAGAAGTAACTTACTTATGAAAACCTATGGAATATGTGATTAAGCTGATCCTGTGGTTGTGTTCAAAAAGCCTGGAATGCCCTTCAGCACAAGACTAAATATGGCCTTGTTTTGTCTGTATGCAGCAGCACTGTTCTGTAGTTTGGAATCGTACCTTTTTAGATGAAAGGTCCCATACCAAGCAAATAAAATTAAAAAGCCTGGTGTAAATTAGAGCAGTCTGTCTATTCAGCTGCTCACATTTATGAGATTTTTGTGAATGCCTGGATGCAAACCAAAAACCACATTCCACATTCTATATTTCTATATAAAGAGAAACAAAAAATTGCAGATCTGTTTTTTGCTAACATGGTTAGGAGGCAACTCCACCCAAGTTGAACTGTATTTCCTAATGGGAGGCTATTAATCCCTTTAATAGTGTGAAACAATGACATACATCTGGAATATTAGACAAAATACAATTTGAAGCATGTTCAAAAGAATGAAGCAGGAAATGTGAGGGGTTCTGAGACTTTACATTTGCTTATTTACATTTTTGGAAAACAATGTAACAGATGAAAAGTTTCTGCATATGTTTCTAAGGAGATTCTTTGCACCAGCATTGCATGTATTGTGGGAGAAGAATTCAGCTGTCAAGGGATGACATGGAATCTCACGGAAAAGCAAGTTGCACTTTGAAATGTGGGCTATGAGGCAGATAGATTCTGCCTGGGAGGGAGAAAGCAGTATGCCAAGAGAAAGAATCTGTGAGGGAGGAATTCCAATACTATGATTTTTTTCCTTGCAGAATACAGTTAAAGAGGTGGTCATATGGGCTGGGGCAGAAATCTTCTGAGAGCTTGAGTAGTGAACTAGAAATCAGTGTGAGATGCTTAACATTTCCTATTATTTTCCTGCAAGGTCCTTTGCAATGATACATAGCGCCATCAGAAAACTTTGTTCAGTCACTGTGTTTGCCTGCTTCATAACTTTTACCTACTTTCCTTCTCTTTTTCTCTCCAGAAAAGTCAGTACTCTGCAGCTCAGTGTGTCTGGAGGAAAAAATAATGATGGATCTGGAAGGGGGAGCATTGGTTTTGAGCTTTGGCTTTTTGTTGTCAGCCAGGACCTTTGCACACTGTTGGGACCCTTGAAAGATAATTATCTTCACATATTCATCATTCCACAGTTCCACACTGTTCAGTTCTACACATGAAGAATTCAATGCCAGCGTTTTAGCAGCTCTGCTTTCTTTACAAAGGCTTTCATTTCTAAGTGCTGTTGTGTGCCATTGTAAAATTAGAGTAACTGCTGAATGATTTCCTCCTCGTTTCCTCTCATTTCTCTCTTGGATATGGGAACGGGCTTATTTTAACAGGAGGGTCTTTTTTTGTTTGCTTAAAGGTTTAATAAGATTGCAGTTGGAGCACTGAAGGTAAATATCTTCCAAAGTCTACAGCACTTACAAGTACTGGATATTGAAGGGAACCTTGAATTCAGCAACACTTCAAAGAACAAGGATGACTCAGAAGAGGAATTAGAAGATGAGGAAGATGAGGAAAACTGAGATAAAATGTGAACTCACACAGGCACACCATGTGGAAGGTAACAGCTGATGTTTAGTTAAATCACGGACTCAGTTCTCAGACTTGTGTAAATAACTCCAATTTACAAGTATGATTGAAACTTAACAGGAGGTGTCTGAGCCATAGGTTCAACAACTTTCACCCCAGTATGACCAGGAATTGCAGAATACAAAAAGGCGGAAAATACATTAATTTTAAAATGAAACAATCAGTAAATATCTTTATTTTATTGGAGGCAGTGGACTCCTCATGGTGACTCCTGCTTATAACCACAAAGATACAGTAGGTAAAGATTGTGGATCTTATTTACCAGCTCTGTTTTTTTTTCTCCTTTTTTTAATTTTTAGTTTTTAATGAAGATATTTCATGATATTATTAAGTAGCTGGTTTAAAAGGAAAATAAAGAACAAACTGCAGAGTTCAATGATGCAGAAGACCATGTGAGCTGAAAGTGGATTAAAAAAATAAGACAATTTAAAGGAAGATAGGCCCATCAGTGTCTGTTAAACACCAGGCTAAGAAGCAACATCTATTTTAGACAATCCTTAAATCACTGACCACTGGAGTGTGTAGGAAGATAGTTCTATACTTGGAATATTTCTTATGGAAAGAATATCCACTTCAGGTCACTTTGGGAGACAGTACGCACAGCTGAGTTGATGCCTGGTTCAGGATAGCCATGCTTAAGTTCTTAAAACAGCCTACGATTTGCTACTGGTAAGTCTTGGCAAGTGTACATCGATCACTTCACTCAGACTTATTGAAAAGCCTCTGGGTGGTTACAAATTGTTTGCTGTTGACTTTAATTCCAGACTGGTAATCCTGAATTTAAGATCTCAGTATTCCGTAACCAATCTGGCCAGCCACTCTTGTTTTCAAAGGCAAAAGAAACAACGAGGATAAATTGGTATTTGAAGAGTATGTATTTTTCCATAAGAAAAGACATCTCTTAAGCTTTTCATACTTAAAAGAGATGATGAGGTTCAAGGTACTACTGTTTACTGCTGAGGATTTAAGCTCCAAGACTTTGAAATGGAAATAAATGTTTAGCTTAGTCCCAGATGAATATTTTGTCATGGAGGGTGACACAAGGAATTGCTAGAAATAGTACTAATTCACTGAAAAAATGATGAGGATTGGAAAGGACAAAAGCTACTCAGAAAGTCGAACAGTAGACCTCTGGGCTAGGCTGTGTCAAACCTTTGTGAGAAAAAAAAAAGAAATGTAATCCAATATAATTATTAGAATATATGCAGCTTTATCAGCACATCTGTGGTTTGGAGCATGTGCAACTTTTCAGCAGATACTAAATTTAGCCTGTTATGAATTCTGTATTCTGTTATGTAACTGATTTTGTTTTTCTCTTGTTTTGCAGCAAAGCATATGGAAAATTACATATATTTCTATGTGTATATATCTATATAGATATATATAGAACACTTAGCAGAATGTGCAATGAATTATACAGAAACTGTCATGGCACTGGGCCAGGCTTATGGAAGACAGTGTGTTGCAGTGCCTTATTCAGGGAGAGACCCTGAATGCCTTTCCAAAGCTTCCAAATCATCTTATACAAGACCCAGGATCATAAGGGATTGCTTTGGAACTCACAAAAGCTGGCTTTTGTTCCTTGTTTCTCTTCCTTTACTGTTTCCATCTGTAATAACAATATGGAACTATTTTGAACACATGCCTTCAAATGCTGTTTTTGTCACTGCATTTTAAGTGAACTATGTATTATGCTTCTTTTCTTTTCTTGCACCCCAAAGAAGCTGTTGTTGATCAGACGAGATGGATATTTGCAGTAGTTTCATGTGTGGAGCAGTATATGAAGCATTTGAGTCATCAAGCAGCAGCAATAAGTCTGGATTAAACTGTTCATCTGCTAGAACAATGTGTATATTTGGATGAGAAAAAAAAAATAAGGCTGGATCCCATAATATTTTATCTCTACTGCCACTGCCTGCAGTATATGCCTTTTCAGAAAGTTTTTAAGATACAACAACTGGTCTTATGAATATATATAAAAAACCTATGCCTACTTTCCAAAGGTTTGGTATAGTTTGTGTGTTGCTGTTGTTCGACCGTGTGGCAGTGGTGTGACTGTCTTGGAGGATACACCCAGAAGACTGAATATCAGTATGCAGTGTGATATATGCAGTAGAATTTTTTACATATTTTATGTCAGAAGTGAGACTAATGAAGCAAAAGAGATAAGTGAGTGGAAACTGTGAAGTGTCAACAGAAATTTCTTTGTTTATTTCAAGTCTCGTGACGGTACTTGTTCTCATAATCTCTTAATTTAAAACCTCACTGTTGAGTCATTTTCAGGTCCTGTCCAAATCATGGAAAATAAAGAAACCAACGAGAAGAAGATATACAGAGGTACTAGGATGGCAGGGTTCCTATTTGTTTATAATAGCCTTCATCTGAGGTGGCTAATATGTTTGAGGAAATGCTCTTTTCTTTTGAGGATTTCTGGTTGAACACATGTTGTTTTGCATGCTGTATTCCAGGATTTACTTGGAAACAGTTGGCCTGCTTTTTAACCAGCTGTTTTTCTGATGGAGAAGGCTTAATTCCACACTCTCCCTTTGGGGTAGCACATGACAGTAATTTCAAGCTGATATTTTCTTAAGACAATTTATGATGGTTGTAGATCACAGAAGGAAAGATTAATTATTGAAACAAACAAACAAACAAATAACCCATAACTTGGCCCTGAACAATTGCAAACAAAAAAAACCAACAAACCAGACAAACACATTTTTTAATATCATCCATACAGATGAGAAATAGAATAGCATTCTGACTTTTGGGATAGATTTCTATGTGAAATATTTACAGAATGTAGTTCAAATCAATGAGTAATTGCTAGTGGCAAACCCCAGTGGCAAGTTTTGCTAGTCTTTGGTGAAATAGATCTATTTATTATACTCCTGAATAAGCTGACAGTTTGCACAATTATACAGTTTGATGTAGAAGTGTTTGATTATTTTTAAACTTTGATGCCTTGCTCTGTGATTCTGTGAGAATCTGCAAATGGAATCTGTCCTTTGAATGGGACAATTTTTCCCAGCAACAACAAGAAAAATAACCCACTGCTCCTCAGCACATTAAAAGCCAAACCAAGCTCATAGTTTGTTTAGTTCCTTTAAAGGGATAAAAGGCCCTGAGAGATTATAAGGAAAAGTCATGTCCACAAGACTTAGCACGCACGTTTTTCCTGGCTATGGATGGTAACTCTGTTCCCAAGTTCCAACCCAAACCTTTGGTGGAACAGGACCCACATACAAAATCTTACTTTTTATGGCCTTCAACTGAAAATGGGGAGAGGTGGGAAGCTGACTTCTCTTTAGGCCAAAAAGTTGGGGCAAAAAGAGACAACATAACCATGTGACATTCTTCCTGTGAGATGCTCAGATTTGAGAAAGAGAAGAACAGCAAGTTTTTAATGCTGACATAGATGTTCTGGATAGTGAAATGCTGAAGTCTGAAACATTCAGTTGGCAACTTTAATCCTAAGTGTGCATTTGGCCGTGCTCGGTATTCATGTGTGGTCTGTATGTAAACTGAGATCTGGGTTTATTTGCTATGTTTCTTTTAAGACCATGTTTCCTCATTACAGAGGGTATTGCAGAAAATGGCATTTTTCTGAGACTGGATACAGTTTTACCCAGCAGCAAGACTGCAAATGCAGCACATAAGCTTTAAAGAACTGAGTAGACGCCAAAAATAGCCTGTGTATAACAAGCTTTTCCTTCAGATGGTGGGCACGTAGCCCAGCTGTGCTTACAGTGTGGATGGGGCCCTTTGCAGCCGTTCTCCCGTCTGTCTGTGTTCAGCTCCTGGCCCCATGGCCGTGCCGTCCAAAGGAGGGCCCCAGCACCTGCTCCCACATCCGCACCCCTCTCTTTAGCACATTCCCCTCTGGCTAATCCTGGGGGCTTGTTGTTGTGGATTTCCTTGGAAAAAAAGGCCAAGGATAGAAGGATAGGTAATCTGCAGCAATTTTATCTCCCTCCAAGAGGGGTTGTGGCCGTTTGTCTTTTTTGGGTGCCAGGCTGGCACTGGGGCCATCCGTGGGAGCCCATTTCCCTCCACTCCCCGTGTTCAGAGAAGTGAAGGGATCTCCCTGCCCCAGGCGGGCAGAAAGGCCTCACAGAGGAGTGCCGCCATCCCGCGTGCTGTGAGGAGCAGAGGTGCAGCCCAGCAGCGCTCTGTGGGGAGGGCAGTGGTGCCTGCTGAGTCCTTCCAGCCAAGATGGCGCCCAGCGAGGCCCAGTGTGAGGGACAGCAGGACCTGCAGGTGACCGGCCATCCCCAGCACCGTGCAGGCAGGAGAGGTGAGTTGTGGTGGGTCAGAATGGGAGTGGGGGGGCCCTAGGGAGCCACCAGCACCCAGCTCTGTGCTGTGACAGCACTGCTGCAGGGCTGCTTCCCCCAGCAGTCACCATCCACCCTCTGTGCAGCCCCCTCCCTATCAGCCTGCTACCATCGGTTGATGTTCTGTGGAAAACATAAGTTGCTTTGGAGACTTGGAGATTGTTTTTCTTAGCTCCCTCCCACAAATATCACTGCAGTGTCCATTAAGAGGGCAGCTGGGGAAAGGATCCTCCAACCCCTGCTGAGGGGTTGGGCTGGCAGCCCGGCCCTTGAGGCACCTGTGGTGCAACCCCCCACTGATCATTTGTTTTGCAGGAAAGGAACTTCTGAAAAGAACTAGGATCCAGAGTAGTAGAAGTTACATATGGTCAGGAGTGAAGCTATGGATATGCATTAACAAAGTAGGTGAGGTTAGGAAGTGTCTTCCTTAGGACCCAATTGCCTTTTTCCTGCTCCTTGCTGGTCCATGCAGAGGGGAAAGCAGGAGCACACCACTGCCTTTCCTTGTGCTTCTCAGCTCCTCCTTTGTGCCAGCATAGCAGCTGAACTGCCTTGAATTTCTGGTGCTTTGCCAGCAGTTATCCTTGGCTGCACGGGCTGAGCAGCCATGGAAGGATCTAGGCTGAAGTTGTACTTCACTGTAGCAACTTCTTAGGTTGGCCCTGCTGTATTTCTTTCAGGGCAGCAGAAGGAAGTACTACCGGTAGCTGATCGAACTGCCTTCACGCTCCTTTGCTTCCTATGTCAGTCTTGTTAGATAATTCTAGAAACAAAGAGCCTATTTTATCTGCAACTTTGTAAAGCAGAGACACAATTGACTCTTCTTCATATGCTTTCAGTGGCTTAAGGCAGCAGACTGTGATTGAAGCTTCATGCTTGCTCTCTTTTGACAGTCGTTCCTGATAGTTCATGATCTATTTGTCACCGTGTTGGCCCAGCCCACTGATATTTTTACAAATTTTACTTACAAAAATTTAGTAAGAGTAGATACATTTTTCAAACAATATTTTTGTTGGGAAGCAGTCTCTTCTGTGATACATTCCAATATTCTGTTAATCAATTTCACTATGTACTGTTATTGGTGAGTCTTTTTCTGTGGGTTTGGGACTATTGTTCTAAAAACTTCAAATATATTTAGAGTTTTATGTAATCTGAATTAAGCTTTATTCAAGGCATTAATTTATCATTGTGATTGCTTTATTGTGTTGCTAATGTAAAAACAGTGAGTAAACTCCCCAAAGAGCTCCATTTCCTTTAGTGAGGAAAATATTGGTATGCCCTGTAGCTCTGATTCATACTGCTATTGTAAAGTCAGCCAGCTGTATGAGATGTATGTGGAGGCAGCAGATGATAAATGTGTTCTAATAATGCAGTATACAGTGTTTCCATAAAAATTCTTCAGTAGTATCCAAGGACATAAAACAGTCCATCAATAAATACCAACTTTAAATGGTTTTAAACCAGGCTAAAGCTGTTTTAGAGCACAGTTGCACAGGCTATCTCAAGTTTTCCCCATGGTAGTTCCAGAATCTGTTTTTAGTCTGTGATCATCATCTTACTGAGAATGTTGGTTCTGATAAAAATCCTTATTGATTTACAATATTCTCAGCTCCAGTTGCAGACAAGAAATGAGTGAGTCTCCTGCTTTTATTACTTAGAATATAATTGTGTGTTTGTTGACAGTAATTAGCTTTGAGAGGTTTTACTTAGGGTATATATTTTCTGCAGGATTAAAATGAACTTTGATTGCTTATGTATCACAGTTTCCTTCTTTGTGTACCTCTTAGTCAGGGCTGTTTAATTCAAATGCAGCTGCAAAATGAAACCCATAGGCCCTTTATTGGCACACCTAAGACAAAGCTGCTACAGCATGATGTGCCTTCATCATCCTCAGCTTCAAAGATTTGACATTGGAAGACCCACCTCAGTAGTTTGTACCCTTTCTTTAAAGCAAGCAGGAACAACCGAAGTGAATTTTTCAATGCCACGCTAAATAGGAACAACTGAAATGAGTCTGCCAGGCTGTTCCCACCTGCTTTATGCAGAGGGAAGGAACAGTACATCTGTGATGCAGATAATCTCCTTTTGTGAAATTTCCTCTGGAGAACTGCAGATCACTTGCACAAAAAATATCGTAAGGAACCATACTTTAGTCCTACATGTGGCTCCAATGATAAAACAATTGAGAATGAGAAATTTCAGTGGAGCGTCTCTCCATCAGAAGAGAGCTCAGAGACCTATTCTGAACTTCCTGCTGGAGTTATGTTCAACCAGAGTGCTGGTTGCAGTACCCTCCTGCCTCCTAGTTCCACTCTCTTCACATATTTGGTTAGAAAGGACGTAATGGCAGAGGGGTATTTTCTTCAGTTAGGAGAGGGGGAAGATTAGATGATCTATTGTAAAGGAAAGAATACACATTAATTGAGTAAACTATCAGTTACACACACACTGCCCAGATCTCTACACTTCAAACTATTTATAGTATTAAAAAAAGAGAAGAAGGTGGAAGATTAGGGTTAAAGATATGGTTTAACTGAGTTCTGTACAATTTCCATATGCCTTTAATAGCCTAGAGGTAAAGCCCAATAAAGCCACTAGAAGCAATGAAATCATAATGAAAGATCTTGAGGTCAGTTTTGTTTTTCTTTTGGTTTTGCCATC